AGAGCCTGAAAATCTTGCTATACAAGAATCAGTTGAAGGAACTGGGGGGTATTTAACCTAGACAAGAAAAGACTTAGAGGGATTATGAGCAGTCATCAAGGATCTGAAAAGATATTATGGGGAAGAGGATGTAAACATGTTGTACTTGGACCCAAAGGGCAGAACTATGAGTGATTGCTTCGACTAGATCATCAGTGTTAAAAAAAAAAAAATAACCAAAAAACTGAAAACACCATAAACTATGCTTGGTACTACAGTGGTACTAAATTTTGCCTTTGGCAATTCAGAAGTTACTTTTGGATTTTAGGTTGCCTTAGGGTTATCATAATGATATAGTGCCATGAAAAAAAAAACTTACTCTAATCTGACATTTATGGTTCCTTGGATTTTTGACGGAATAGAAATTTATCCTTGTTTGTTTAACTTCTTTATATTGTCCAAAAAATAGCAGAAAGGCTGTTATCAGTTGACAAATTGAATCTTGTGTGTCACTAAGAGTCTTGGTCTGTGCATGGATGGAAAACACTGTGTATTTGGCTATTTATCCATATAATATCAGTTCTCTAGACATTTTCCTTTCAAACATACACTCCTATCATGCAGGTTTGTTTATCTAAAAACTAATACAGGAGTATTTATAAAGCATAGCCACAAGATAGTTTTTAACTTTAATCCAAAGCCTGATTCAATCATTCTGCCTCAAACCAAATGTATTATGTATGGTATATAATTGAATTCTTCCAGATTGAATAAAGTTAGTATGTATTCCTTCCGTAATAGAATATTCTAAAAAGCATATTCTGTCCTTGGATAAATATAGCTTTAAACATTCCTAAATTCTAGTAAAATTTAATGTCAACTCTGCTTTTACTGACAAATTCATTAGGACCAAAGGAGGAATAAAAACTCCACCCTTTAAGTAGTCTACATTTTTTAAAAAGTTATTTCTATACTAAGTGGCAGTCAAGAAGCAAGGATACCAGACAGTACTCTGAGAAAGGAGTAAAAAGCAACAGTGATAGACAGTTAAGACTTCTATTTCTTTTGTTCATGGTTTGGTCCCTGGCCCCTCTGCCCCCACCCACTGGCATGCAACCATACAGACCTGTCAGACTGAACTGGCACATCTAGGAGAGGAAACATAGACAAAGGTCAGCCAAATCACCATCACTAAAGTTAGTTATCAAACATGTACATCCTTGTGTGTCTCACTAAATAAAAGAAACCTAGGGTATATAATAAACAAGCAAGCAAGAGGATAAATGATAGATAGATAGATAGATAGATAGATAGATAGATGATAGACAGACAGACAAGACAGACAAATAGTTCATTCTCTCTAATAAGTTTGTAACCCACAGAAATACATGATCCTAAAGACCTGTAAATACTAATGTTATTTAAATAGTGTTCACTGCTAAATTTATACCTGACTTCAATTTAATCCACTGTACATAATAGTTTGTTGCCCTCAGAATATTTCAAACTTATACTAAGTGGAGTTTTGTTGTTCTTTTTTAAATAGTAGGCTCCTGAAAGCCTTGTCCCTCCTCAGAAGCAATTATAGCATTTCTAACATAAAATCTTTGCTGCTTGCCCTTCAAAGCTCTCCATAAGGCTGTCCCCCAACCATTCATTGCCCAATTACCGCCAACTACTTTCCTCATTAGACCAAACTCTCACTGACTCCAATGGCATGCTCATTCCTGGTAATGATAAATCAAGTTCAGATATCTCTCCAGACCACTCCCAATCCTATCCATAAAATGGTCTCTTTCCTCTTCCATTGTTCCATATCAGAATCTAGGATGAAAAATATCGTTCATGGATGGGAAACACTATGTATTTGGCAATTTATCAATATACTATCAGTTCTCTAGACATTTTCCTTTCAAACATACACTCCTATCTATCTAAAAACTCATACAGGAGTATTTATAAAGCATAACCACAAGATAGTTAGCTGATTTGCTATAGTTAAAGTTACCCAATTAAAGGAAGTGTATAATTGTGTATATACTTTGAGAGAGAGGTAGAGAGAGAGTCAGAGAAAGAAGAGAGTTAGAGACAGAGAGACGGAGACAGAGAGACAGAGAGAGAGACAGACAGACAGATAGATAGGAGGGAGAGAGAGAGAGTTAGAGAGGAGGGAGAGAAAAAGAGAGACAGAGAGAAGAGGGGGAAGACAAAGAGAGAGAGAGAGAGAGAAACAGAGAGGGACAGAGAGACAGAGAGACAGAGAGAGGTTTGTATTCTACTTGAGAGGTAGCATACCTCAGTAGAAATAACAACTAATGAGAACCATGACAATTCATGGCCCATCTCTGCCGCTAATTAGCTGTGTGGTCTTCAAGAGGCTTTGGATCTCAGTTTACTCATCTGTAAAATGGAGCTAAACTAAAATGTTTATTAGTGTATTTATTGATTCTATTGTTTTGTAAGAGTTCTTATTTTCTGCTTTCATGAGATCAGATAATATTATAATAGCTACACACTCAGAAGACTGATTAATAGTAACAGTTGAGAAAGAGAGAGAGAGAAAGAGAGAGAGAGAGAGAGAGAAATGGAGAAATGCATGGGACCTCTTGATCCATCAAACTTTTGGTATAATAACACTTTATTATAAATTAGAAAAAGGATTCCAGTAACATTTGTAATGCCAATAAGTTTCATGTCAAAACTTAAAATACTACGAATCAGAGTTATTCATAGAAATTCTATTTCCCAATTGTGACCATCCAAGTTCTGTTTGGAGGTCTATGATCTCACCAAAGTTCTCTCTTGTAATTATATTCAGGATTCCAAGATGAATAGCAGTGAGTATTAATCCTACATTAAAATACAGCTTTTTCATTTGAGTGGATAACATCTGTCAAGTGACTGGTTTATTCTAAAGTTGTCACTGAAGGTTGGCAGAACAAATTCCTGAAATCTGAATTTTGGGGGGAGAAGAATTGTAGTTGAGCAGTGATATCAAAGATAGGGTTAAATTTTTGCATTGATTATGTCAAGTCTCCCATTAGAATGCAAGTTCCTTAAGGGTAGAGTTTACCTTTTATTTGCTTGTATTTGTATCCTCAGCCTTAGCACATGTCCTGGCACATGGTAAACACTTCATAAATGTTAGTTGCCTGCTTACTGAAAAATATAACGTGAATGGGATGGAGCCAAGATGGCGGAGTAAAGGCAGGGACTCACCTGAACTATCCCAAATTCCCCTCCAAACAACTTTAAAATAATGCCTCAAAACAAAGTCTGGAGTGGCAGAATCACCAAAAGAACGGGGAGAAACATGTTCACTCTCCTGGTGTAGACCTGGTTCATTTATATAATGACTGTGGCTTTTAGATGTCAAATCAGTCCCAATTCCCCTCATCTCTCTTGCCCGTAAATCCTTTATTCTGTGAGTTTGGTGGTTCTCTGTACTTGCTGCAGAACTGAATATCTGTCCATGCAGTTTCACAATTACATTTTACTCCTAGTAGATAGAGTGGCAGAGTAGAAAAAATACTGGATGGAAAGTTAAAAGAGTCATGTTTTAGTCATGATCCTTCAGCAGTTCACTTTGACTTTGGGGGCCTTGGTTTCCTCATTCTTCAAATAAGGAGATGGGATCTTAAAGTGTTTAATTACATTCTGATTCAGAAACTCAATAAAGCTTTGTATTGTAAGTAATTTTCCCCCATCCTGGTCCATCTTAGAATAGTTTGGAGAAGCAGCCTAAAACCTTTGACATAAAATCCATCATCTGCCTCATGGTAGAGGGGAGTAGTGGGATGGGGCAGGGGACTGACTGCAAAGGGAGGAAGGTGAGAATGGCAGCACAAACTTTTACTCCAAGGTGTCTGTCCTTGACAGATTACTCCCTAACATACTATTCTTATTCTAGTGAAAGTGCTTTGAGATGGAGAATATTCAAAGAGGGGTTTGGGGGACAGGCAAGAGTCTTTAAGAGTTGGTAGCTAATGAAAGTTTTGTGTGAATAGGTAAATGTGGGGGTGAAAGCTGCAGGAATTTCAGAGGGTCTTTGCAAAAATTGGATAAAAGTAAAGGTTTCAGGGCTTTTACATGATGGGGGGAAGTAGAATGGAAGGAGGAGGTTAAAGTAGAAATTCATCATTATCAGCATCCTCATAGGTAGTTTTTATATAGCACTTTAAGAATTGCCAAATGCTTTATACATATTACCTCATTTGATCCTCACAACAACCCTGGGAGATCAGTGTTATTATTATCTCCATTTTTACAGATGAAGAAACTGAAGCTAGGTAGAGGTTAAGTGACTTGCCCAGAGTCACACAACTTGTAAGAGTCTGAGGTAGTATTTGAACTCAGATCTTCCTGACTCCAAGTCCTATACTCTATCCACTACCTGCCTTTAGAGTTAGCCAGAGCCAGTGAAAATTTGGGGGAAGAGAGAAGATTTTCAAGGCAACATTTTTGTTTTTATCATTGCCACTGTTTGAGAGATCACTTCATAATGAGATGCAATCTGTTGGTAACTGACAGCTGTCAGTCATCCATGACTTACTCCAGCTGTTAACTAATCCTGAGTAATTTTTAAAAGTAAGGGTAGATGCCTCTGCCATCAGGGTATTCCAGTTATTTTTCATTTGTCACTAATTAACCAGTTTGGTTGAAAATGTCCTCTTGCTTTGACAGAAAATAACAACTGTTCAAAATATTTCAAATGACAGACATCCAATTCTATCCTGAAAAGAAATTCCAACCATGTCCAGGTAGATGGGTCTTTCCCTTCCCCCATTTTTCAAATTACCACTATGTAGACATAGTATGTAATACATGCAACAATCATGACTTTTTTTTCATAGAAAGAATTTTATTCTAAAGGGCAGTGTACTAACTAAAACATAATCCTGAGGAGTTGATAGACACCATGATTGAAACATAATCAACATTAGGCTGTATGCACTGGGGGGGAGAAATATGAAATGGTAAAAAATGAAATTAAAAGGAAATCCTTTCTCTTTTGCTTTCAGGGATTCTATACAAAAGCCTGTGAGTGCTTTAAGCAAGCTTTTGATACAACCACTGAGTTCACGGATATCCCGCTGGTGGATGAGACCAAAGTCCACTTTGGAATTGCCAAGGCTCACCAGATGATGATAGCAGTCAACAGTTACATAGAATCTGCTGACTTCAACAGCCTCACTCACCTGCTAACATGGAAGGAGAACCGAAACAACATTTTCCCAGAACCCATCGTTGGTAAGAGCGAGATCAAGAAATACATTAGTTTCCAAAGTGCCAATGGCATGTTTGGTTGAAATCTTTGCTTAGTTGTAATCTCTCCTGAATTGACCTTGTACTATACAGGGAAGTTAGATACACTTTGGTGTATAATATTCTAATTGATTTTAAATGAATTTCATGAAGAAAAATGGATAGTTATGATCTGTGTAAAAAGGTAACTTCATTCCCCACACTACTTCTATAGATATACAAAGTATTTGCCAACATGAATTCAGCACAGACCTGCCTCACTCAAATCCAATTCAATTGCAAGGCATGTCATCATCTTCCTGATGTCATGGTCCTCTTCGAGAGCGAAGGACAAACCACATTGACACATTGAGCCATAAAACAATATGCATTTAAAACCTGTTCTTACTGACAAAAAAAGGACATTGATAGACCAAGATATTATTGCATATGTACTACTACTTTTAATGTTCATTTTTTTCTATCCACTTTCCTTTAGTACTCTGTAGTTTTGGATAAGTATCCATAATCTCCTTCCCCAAACTATGTCCTCTCTCCAAAGAGATTTTGTATCCCATTTGTCCTCTCTGATTTTAGCCTCAAAGAAACAGGAGTTGAGAACTTTGATGCAAAGTGAAAAATTCCACCTGAGATGGGACCACATAAAAGTTTGTGTGATAAGGGTCTGGGGAGTTTAGTGGACTGCATCCTCAATGAATCAGTAATGCAGCACAGTAACTTTTAAAAAGCAGCTAATGCTATCTCTAGATACATTAAGAGCATGATTGTGTCCAGAACATAAAAATAGATAATTATGTCTAGTTCTAGGTGTCACGTTACGGAGAAGAAGCTGGCAAGGGTCCTGAGAAGGGATGAAAAACATGCTAAGAAAGGATAATGGAGACCATGCCACACAAGACTGGTTAAAAGAATTAGGGATCATCAGCCTGCAGGAGAGAAAACTTTGGGGTAACAAAATAGCTATATTTGAAGGGATGTCACGTGGGCAGTGGGATTAGACTTGCTCTTCTTGACCTCAAAGAGGAAAACTAACAATTCTGAGTGGAACTTGCGGAGAGGAAGATTTAATTTCAATGTAAAGGAAAATGTTTAACAATGAGAGCTAGCCAAGAGTGGGATGGATTGCCTAGGGAACGGCAATTTACTTGTTACTTAGGATCATCCAGAAAAGCCTGGATGATTATTTGTTGGTAGTTCTTGGGTCAGTCACAAGTGGCACTAGAAAGTCTCAGAGGTCCCTTCCACCTCTCATATTCTGTAATACAATAACAAGTATGAGCATCCCTTTACATAAAAATTGTGTTGCTGGAAAGTTCTGTTCAAATCAAATTTGTACATAGCAAAACATTTAACATAGGTTAGGGGAACTTGAATGGAATCACAGTGAGTGATTCAGTGGAAAGAGTGATAAGTATGGGGTTAGTAGATCTGGGTTCACATCCTGGCTTCTCCATTTCCTACTGTATCTAGGCGAGTTTGGTTAAATTTCTAAACTTCTCTGGTCCTCAGTTTCCTTCTCTGTAAGATGAAGGGTGTTGGACTAGGTAACCTCTAAGATCCTCTCCAGTTCTAAATATATGATCCTGTGAATCTTTTTGAAACCAAACGAATTATCATCTAATTTACCCTTTAGGCAAATGCAAATGTTCATATACACACCATATAAATGTATCACGTCCAACTCTTTGTGATCCTATTTGGGGTTTTCTTGGTAAATATTGTGAAGTGGTTTGTCATTTCCTCCTCCAGCTCATTTTTACAGATGAGAAATTGAAGCAAACAGGTTTAAGTGACTTTCCCAGGGTCACAACTAATAAGTATCTGAGGCCGGATTTGAACTCATGAAGATGAGTCTTCCAGATTCTAAGCCCAGTGCTCTATCCACTGCACCACCTAGCCGCCCTGCACAAATGTATTCCTACCTTTATATGTAGCTTGTAGTGATGATCTGTGTTAAACATTTTTAAGCTTATAGGTTGCCTGTGTAATTTATTTAAAATTAGAAAGCTTTATTAACCCTCTTGCAAGCCAATAGAATACCACTTAATTCATTACTAAAAGGGTCTTCTGGTCATCTTTTGTGCAAAAACAAGAAAAACAGCTCATTCCACACACATGAAATGTGAAACAAGATGAACAAAAAAGTTTAGTAATAGATGATTTGTAAATGCTAAGTAATTGTAATAACCAGTCTGGGCCCCAGAAAAAAAAAAAAGACAAAGTGCACCTCTGTTGTTTCAGCAAAGAGGTGGGAGACTTTAGGTATAGAATATTGAGTACGCCTTCAGATCACAATCACTGTGATACTTGTTTTTTCTTTGTTATAAGTGAAGGATCATTGGGTGGGTGGGCTGGGAGAGGGCGTATCTGGGAATATCTGTAATGTAAAAATGAAAAAAAACCATTTTTTTAAATAATAATTAGCTCAAACACATGACTTGGTTGAATTTGGTATGTCCAAGTATCCAGAGACAATGTTATAATTATTAATCGTTTTTAGAAGAATATTTTACTTAGATCATTAAGATCAAATTCTCAGAGATGTGGGGATTGGTTATCTAATTTGTGGCTCTTCCATATCTTTGGTTTTGACTCCTCCCTTCTGTTGTCATGCTTTTTTAAAATTTCTTTTTTTCCTTTGAATGATGTTTTATTTTTTCAATTACATGTAAAAACAATATTTAACATTCATTTTGTAAAAATTTTGAGTTTCAAATTCTCTCCCCCTCTTCCCTTCTACCTACCTGAGACAGCAAGCGATTTTATATAGGTTATACGTGTGCCATCATGCAAAATATATTTCTGTATCAGTCATGTCGTGAAAGAAAAACACAGACCAAAAAAAAACCAAAACCACCACACATACACACAAATACAGGAAAAAAGTATGCTTCAATTTGTAAATAGACTCCATCAGTTTTTTCTCTGGATATGAATGACATTTTTCATCACGAGTCCTTTGGAATTGCCTTGAACCATTGAGTTGCTGAGAATGGCTAAGTTATTCACAGTTGATCACCATATAATATTGCTGTTACTGTGTACAATGTACTCCTGGTTCTGCTCACTTAACTTTGAATCAATTTGTATAAGTCTTTCCAAGTTTTTCTGAATTCATCCTGCTCATCATTTCTCATAGCACATGTATTCCATCACAATCATATACCACAGTTTGTTCAACCATTCCCCAATTGATGTGCATCCCCTCAATTTCCAGTTTTTTAACACCACAAGAGCTGCTTGTTCATATTCTTTGACCATTTATCAATTGGGGAATGACTTGTATTCTTATAAATTTGACTTAGTTCTCTATATATTTCAAAAATAAAGCCATTATCAGAGAAACTTGATGTAATTTTTTCCCCAGTTTTCTACTTTCCCTCTAATCTTGGCTGTATTTGGTTTTGCTTGTGCAAAAACAGCCACTGCTGCTGACTCAGTCACCCCCAAAGCCTGTTGCTGGTTTGCACTAGCCATGACCTGCTGCTGGCTGCCTGGTGCAGGGACCTGGGGCCTCACAGCTGGCTTGCGCTGGGGCTTATGGTCTCACTGCTGGCTTTCATCTGGGCTCAGGGCCTCAATACTGGCTTGTTCCAGGGCTCAGGGTCTTGATTCTGGCTTGCCAAGGTAGCCTGGGTTCCACTCTCACCCCAGTGAGACCTATCTTTCTTGTTGACCCTCTAAGTTATCTTGGGCTGAAAAATTGTTTCACCCCATCCTTTTCTTGGTTCTGCTGCTTCAGAATTAATTTTGAGGTGCTATTTTAATGTTGTTTGGAAGGTAATTTGGAAGATCTCAAGCTATTCCCTGCCTTTATTTCACCATCTTGGTTCTACCACCTCTGCCAAGCTTTAGGGGAACAAGTGAAGGAAAAGAGTTGGAATTCTTGTCAGTCTATTTGGGATACTGTAGAAGGTCTGGCAGAGGAAGGGCACTGTCTATGTATTTCATTAAGCCAAAAGATTCTTTTGTTTCCACCTCACCCCACCCCTCTCCCTCCACATTGTGAACGAGTTGGCTACTACTCCATCTGTCCATAGCGACTTGTCTCTTTCTCATTCTTATTGTGCCTTCTATATCAAGCCTTCCACTTTACTCTTAAAAGTTTCCATCTCCTTCCCTACATGGATCATTTAACAGTCCCTTAAAAGATGGTGCTGGGGTGCTGAGACCTCCCACACCACAGGATACATTGGAAACATTTTATTCGACTAGATCTGACTCAGACAAGGGAGGCCAGCTCTACGATCAGAAACAAAAACAACAAAACTACCACTAACAACAAACCTCCCTAAGTGGTAGTTTCATATTATCTACCTAAAACAGAACTGCACCCAGATGGGCTATAACATTTTACAAGTGAAGAAATAGCCTGCTCTGATATAATTCTTTTAATAGATTTAAGTTAGACAACAAAGTTGTACATCATGAAAAATGCTCATACTTTTCCTGTGAGTGTGTCCTTGGCTAGGAATAGATCAGATTCTACCCAAATTAAAAAAAATAAACAAAAAGCCACTGTATAGATGTACACATGTATTTAGGTTGAAAAATTATTTTCATTAACTACCAATTAAGCAAAAATTATTATCTTCCCTTGGGAAAGTATGTCCATACCTGTGAGTCAATATTGTATCTTGATTATCATTCAATTATTATGTGAGAGAGAGAAAGCTATGACAGTTAGCAGTGGCCCGTTATGATACTGTCAAAGCAATGAGCTACGAAAATATTATTTGCCAGACTGATGAGTTCTCAGATCTTTGGAGCTCGTCTCTTCTATGGAGAGGCATCCTCAAACTTGCTGCCAAGAGCTCCTGTGTACTCAGTAAAGGGCAGATCAAAGATCAGGAAGATGCTGTATAAAAACTGTGCCTTCATCCTTCCCTTGGAGACTTCCAACCCCTCCAAACAAATCATTAGCTCACAGAGCCAGCAATGTTCTTTTAAGCAGAAGGAACCTATCCCCTTAAGGGAATAGACCA